AGGGAACAACCATATCTCATCAATTTGCATATGAAATCAGGATGCTCCAAGGTACAATCTAGATGGGTGCCTATTGGCAATATCTCTAGAGATGATTGGAGATATGTGGACAGAGGCAGAAACTCACACCAAAAACCTAGAAACGCACCAAATTAAAATTTAAATTTCATTCCAACCAAATTCAATTCAAATTTCGAAATCTCCCACATATCCAGCCCGTCATCCTGCATTGATTTCCAATCAACACTCTATAACTCACACTCCCAATCCTCAACAGTTGGCACTAAACCGGATCCTAATCATCACGTCGCACCATTCTCAAGACTCAAGACAACCATTGGTCGACCACCGTAATCCGAACAGCCATCACAACTGTCCAGCTATTCTCTTCACATGGGCAAGAAAATGACCACATATCTCGTGGGACATGAAAATGGTAAATATAGAGTGCAGACTATTCTAGAATTTCAATTATTTTTGGAGTTTCAGGCAATTTTCTGTACTTTCAAGAAGGGACTGGTTTGGTTTTTATTTTCTTTCTATTGGGCATTTTGTTGTGCTTGGTGTTGGATGGGAAGGAGAATAAAATGGGTCCCTCTGTTACAGTTGCAAGACAATTAAAGGTAGTTCCAAGTCTCTTGTGCCTAGAGTTGGATCCCTTTGATGTCGTGCCTTTGAGAGTGTAAAGAACCTACACAGAGCAGATTCTAGTGCAATTGAACACTTTGCATTGGGCTCTCCTTCAAGGTATATATATTGCCCCGATCTGCCAAAGGGATATGTCAAGATAGAGCATTAGGGAAGAAGGTGTGGAGGTAGAAGGTTCTAGTGGCCTCCACTAGGTTGCAGAAAATGGCTGCTTAAGGTTTCTCATCATAGAGATGCGAAGTAACTGCTTGCGTTGCTCCATGGTCAGTTTAAATAATGTGAAAGTATTTTTGACAAAGATTAGGTAGGGGATCTCTTGAGGAATCATGACCCTACTCTCCATAGACGGTTCAGAATCAGCCACCTCTGATCAAGTGGCTGACAGGTGCTAGTGCAATGTAATGATGAGGAGCCAGGGGGTTGACCTTCCTCTCTCCCGACGAGAGAGGCAGATGGAAGGAAACATCAGGGGTTTCTTGGGCCTGGTCAATTGAGTGGAGGACGAAGCTGGGTAAGAGGGCAGCACTAGTTAAAATTATAGTTGCTGGAAACATTATGGGGCGGTTAAGAAACAACATACCCATATAATAAGTGTAGCAGAAATGAGGATGTTGAGGCGGATGAGTGGCAAGATAAAGGGTTCAAATTCAATATGAATACATTCAGAATATTTTAAGAGTGGCACCAATAGGTGTTAAGATGAGAGAAAGTAAACTCAGGTGGGTTTTCCATGTATAGCACAGACCCAGTACAGCACCTGTTAGGAGGTGTGAGTTAGTTACCTATTAGGAGGTGTGAGTTAGTTCAAGTGAAGGCTTAAAAAGGACATGGATAGGCCCAAAAGGACATGGTTGGAAGTAGTGAGACATGGGAACTTATGGCCTCACTGAGGGTATGGCCCTTAATAAAGCAGAATGACGAAGCAAGTTTCATGTAGCCAACCCCAATTAGTTAGAAAAAGGCTTTTGCAATGATGATCCTCAGGAGGGCCGTGACCTCAACTGCAATGGAGTCAACACGACCATTAACCAATAGATTTCAAGGAGCAAAATAGGGTATCCATCTTTGTCTCTGAAAATTCCACAAATACCTGTAGGGCAAGGTTACTCAGGGACCTTGTGACTTTTGGAGACAAGCGAGGAATTTGCAAGGGCCTTAAGTTTAACAAAGCTTGTGAGTTTTGGAGGATCTGGTGGCTTTATTGTTGAACAGATTGAAGTCTCTTCGCTCCAAACATTACCCATACTTTCATTCGGTCCTTTAATGTGTTGGGATAGACTCCTTTCCATTGAATTCTATTCCAAACCACACTCTGCGGAATGCCAAAGGAAGAGAGACCTTGGCCATGGTGGGGATTTGAAAGCTTGGAATAGATGAGGGATAGACTTGAGTGTTCCCCATGTCCATTAAAAAACTTGTAATAATTTTTCCCACAGGCCCCAAGCCACGTCACAATGGGATTGGCATGCCCCTCATTTGTAGTTGGTCCACTGTGAGGGTCCTCTTGGATATGAGGATCCGATTGAAAACTTGGATTTTTGGAGAAATTGAACTAAGCCAGCCTCTGTTAGTGAGGGAGGAGAAAGAGAGTAGGTTGGTGGTTTATGGAGCTTGTGATAGAACGAAGAGACCATGAACTTACTGGATGGGGAATGCATCCAAATCAATCTGTCGTCACCTCCCTGGAGGAATGTTAATTACAGGAGGAAGGAGAGGGATCCAAAGTCAGAAAGTTCATCGACTAACCTTCTGAAGCTTGGCACCGAATTCAAAATGGTCCAAATGGTCCAGAGCCAAGAGGAGGAACAAGTTATAGAGGCGATCTTTTGGAGTGGAATTACTAAACCACAGGTCAATCTAGAATTCGAATCCATTGCCTGCCCTAACCCTAAAGCAATATTAGCCAAGAAAAGGTGGAAGCTAGTAAGCATACAGCGCAGCACCCCAAAGCACTAACCATTTGAGATTCCACTTGGCAACCAGCCTAGTGCTTCACAATGGTACTTGTGTAGAATTACTTCTTGCCATATATGGTTCTCGAGTGGCAAATCGCTACCATCATTTTCCGAAAGGGCCATGTTACATCTTCTAACGCAATGAAATGCCCAGACCTCCCTCTTGTTTTGGGTAGATAAACCAAACCCAAGCAATAAGGTGGTATTTTGTGTTCCCCCAGCTCCAGACCATAGGAAATTCCTCATTAATCTCTCATGTCAAGCCATAATGCGGCCGACATTTGAAAAAGAGACATCAAGTGAATTGGAAGATTTGAGAGGGTTGCCTTAAAGTAAGTTGACCAGCCATTCAAAGGAATCTACCTTTCCTCATAGTTAGTTTGCCATCAAATTTTTGGTAATGGGGTCCCAGAGCTGTCTCTTTAATTGACCAATATAGAGGGGCAAACCTAGGTATTTGGAGGGAAGCTACTCTACCCAACACCCCAAACAATTTGCAAGGTCAAGGATCACCAAGGGATCAATTGCTACACCATCATTTCAGATTTGTCCATGTCGATCTTGATCCTTGTAACTAATTCAAAACAATTTTAGGTATAGATACAGTGTGTCAACTTCTTGTTGGGTACCATCAAAAAAGACCAAGGTGTTGTTAGCGTATTGGAGGTGTGAGATCATTGGGGGTCAGCCAATTCTAAAACACAAAAGCCCTTGCTGGGACAATCTTTTGATGGATCTGCTGAAGACTTCAAATACTATAACAAACAAAAAAGATTTGAGGCAATCGTGTTGTCGTGAGCCCCTTGAAGAGGGGAAGTAGCCTTCAGGGGAGCCATTAGTAAGGATAGAGAAAAAGGGGTTAGAGATGCACCCGCGCATCCAAGTTCTCAATTTTTATCTGAAGCCCATTTTCCAAAGGATCTCGTCAGAAAGTGCCCAATCAACATGGTCGTAGGTTTTTTTCCCCAATCGAGTTTGATGACAACCCTTAAGGTTTTTAAAAGATACATGGAACAAACACATTCAAGGGCAACAAGCGCCACATCAAGAATCTAGATATCTTTGATGAAGGGCCCTTGGGGTGAGATGACCCAACAGAGAACCTTTATGAGGCAAGAGGCTCGAACATTTAATAGGATATTATAGGAGCTATTGAGCAGGGTTATGGGTCTAAGTCATTAAGGTCCATGCTGCCTTCAGTTTTTGGAAGGAGGATGATGAAGGTTGAGGTCACGGTCTTATGGATCATTCCTTTGTGGTAGAATTCATGTAAGAACAAGAGGATATTTAGGCGTTCATCAAGTCCCTGAAAGATTAAAAAGGGCCATCGCGTAACCGTCCAGACCCGGGGCTTTGTCCTGGCCGAGTCCTTGATGGCCCTAATGATCTCTTCTTTTGAAAAAGAGATGTTCCAACCATGCAGCCTTGTCATTTGGGATGGAGAGAAAGGAGAGATTGGTCATTCTCAACTTGCCATGCGTACATTGAGTACAGGTTCTGGAGAAAACCTATGATCTCAGTGTCCACGTCTTGCAGTTGGTCATGCAAATGCAGGCCTACTTTGATTTGGGTAATTATCTCGCTTCTACAATTTGTTCTTTTGAGTAAAATGGTATTGTTTTGGTCCCTATTTTCAACCATTTGACTCCAGAGCATTGGTACTAAAATATCTCTTTTAAAGAACTAACCGGCACTCAAGTTTAGCCCTGATTCTCCAGTTTCTTTCCTCCGAGTTTAGGTTTCTGCTTTCTTCAATGGAGTCCAAAACTTATAGGGTTTCAAGAAGGGTTCCTTTCGTGCTTTGAAAGTTTCCAAGAAGTTGCTTTCTCCATTCTCTAAAAGAGATTTTTAGCAGTTGTAGTTTCTTCGTAGCCGGTAGCCAGCCAACCTTGAACTTGTAGTTTCTTTCGTGTTGAAAATGGGCTAATTTCCACTCTTCATCATGGCTCAATAAATTTAATGGATATGTTTTAGGTCTTCATATATAATAAAAATAAATTATCAATAACATCCACTAAATGTTGTCCACTATTTTTTTATTACTTTATATGGTGCTCCCAAACTAGGAACTTATAGTAAGGTGGTCGATCCAGATACAAGAAGGTATATATCATAACTGCGTTTTCCAAATAATAAGGAACAAAGAAAACACTCTGTTAGGAACCATTAAAAACATAACAAAAGAAGGAGATGCATATTTAACAAAAGTAGTCACCACAAGATTTTCACTAAACAGATGATAAATAGAAACCATATCCCATATTATGTAAAAGACAATGAACAGCAGACACAGTGAGACTGAAATAACCATATCGTAATGCTTGAAAAGTGAAAACAACCATCATGCAAAATTGATCCAGCCACAAGTTATATTTGCAAAATTTTAAGCCAACATACTTTTGTAGTGACCTCCAAATGACGCCAAAGCTCCTCATCATGTTCCCTTAAAAGCTGTGATAGCTTAGTAATCGTGGAACGGATGCCAACAACGCTATTATCAAGTTGTTGACAAAAATGGTCCCTAAATCCACTCAACAACTCAACAAAGCAAAAGAATGCATCCGCTTCTGCATGAGCCTGCATTATAAATGGCAAATAATGACAATGATGCAATAGAATAAGCAGGTGTGACTTTTGAAATGCAAATGTGCAAACAGTTTGGCTATAATACAATCAGTGTAAGTCATGTAATTTAGGAACACAAACTGCCCATCAGCATGCATCAAACATCAATAGAAGGTTGTCGACACAATCTACTAAAAATGCGAAGAAATCTGGTATAACATCTTCAGTTCGCTTCTAGATTAGAGGTATAACTCAGCCAAAATGGAAATGCTCTTCAAAAGTCAATAGTCCAGATTTAGTAGCTACAATTAAGTCACATGAATAGAATTAGAATTAAGAACTAAACCATAGATCCAAAGGAGAAAGCAAGAAGAGGAAACATCTGGCACACTGGAAATTCATTGTTTCATTCAACTTAGGTTTTGATAAACCACTCCACCGCTCAATGTGTTGTTATACATGCTCGACAAAAACGAGAAGAAAACATAGGTGCAAATGGGAAATTTTGGATTTCACTCCACTTAGGTTTCCTTATCCCACTCCCCCATTTAATGCGTTTGTATACATCTTGGTTATGACATTTTAGTCATTGGGCTATGTAATATGCCTCAAAGATTAAGAACCGATTTAAGTGCGTTGACGATGACTTTGCTAATCACCTTGCTGATGACATTGCAAAGGCAAATAGGTCTAGGATCGGCCATAGAAGGGATCCTAAGCCCCATTCAAGGTACTTTCCTCCAAAACCAAAGGAACTTTAACCAAACCTTTATTGGCTACAAATTCATACATAGTATGGCTCAAAAGAAAAAGAAAGCATCTTTTGGAGGAAAGCACACCACTGCGATTACACAAGCGCACCACTCGCGAGATCACGAAGACCACACCACTGCAAACTCACCACTAACACAACCACCACACCACCTCGTATCAGGAGCACACCACTCGATCACATCACGACCATCACCACGAACAAGGGCGCATCACCACACAAACACATGAGCTCAAACCAGAAACACATCACCACGAATCACACAAAACAGCATACCAACTCAAACCAGCACACCACCCGATGTCTCTTTCTTCACCAAGAGCACACAACCACCTGATCACAGCTTGTTCACCACGTACACACCAGCACGAACCATGAACCAGCAACTCTTGGACCAGCAATTGCACAATAATTGATCTGATCAAGGCACAGACACGGGGTTAAGCTCAACATTCACTATCAGGTAGATTAGCGGCTATATTATGGGCAAGCTCCAGGGCTGTTTCACAACTCGTTGTCAAAGTAGAACTCCAGGAAGTCATCAAGACATCAACAAAACGATACAAGTTCCTCTCAACAAAATAAGAAGCTATTCAAAAACTTGATAGGCCATTAATTTCATTGCTATTACATCATGGCCGAAAATATTCTATATACAAGAAATATCCCATCTTTCACTTGCCAACATGGCCAATTACATACCAGTAGGAGTGGCATAATTTCATTAGATAGTTGATCAACCCAAGTTTAAGGTTAAGAAATGCATACATCTCCTATCACTGCTATTCTCTTGGTTCTCCATATACCTAATTTTAACTACAAGTGCGCCTAGGCTTGATAACGTAACTAAATGTCATACTGTATAACCTTTTGCCTTCACATTCTGTTTTTCAGGACCAAAAACTAGAAAGAATAATTATGAAGGGTAGGAACCCCAGGTGTTGTACCTTTATGGAAAAGGCAAAATGATGATATTCTACATCTACGCATTCATACCTCGAACATCCCTCTGCTCGTACCTTCAACCATCATGGATCCTCCTTCCACAAGCAACAAGATATTCTACGTCTACACATGCACACCTCAAACATCCCTCTGCTCGTATCTTCAACCATCTTGGATCCTCCTTCCACAAGCAATAAGATTTCAGTTTTGACCTGTGTCTTCCTTGTGATACCTGTTAGTTATCTAGACACTCTAGCCTCCATTTTAGAATAATAATACCAGATGTGATGACCCATTTCACTTACCACACTGATATTTAAGAACCCATCCCACTTATCGACTCTTGGTTACATACATTGAAATCCTTAACAATGTCTAGAAGAGTAATATATATGTACTTCGCAAAAAGAGAAAAAATAGAAGATATATCTCATGAAAACTGAGAGACAAGATACCCACCACCTTCAAGTTGTTGAACAAAATGATGATGACCCCATTCAATCCCAAGGTCAAAGTCTTTGGGTTGAAGTCTTTATTTTTGTCAGAATTTAAAAACAAAGAAAATACACCCTTAACAACTGTACTGTGCATCATAACTCTCGTCCACAATATGAAGTTGCCAAATATAAGTTACATTTGTTTAAGGTAATTAGAACATCAACGATTCATATGACACTTCCCAAGCATTATTGCTTGAATGCAGTGTCAACTGCTGGTTAACTTTGAAAATTATACCAAAAGAAAAATAAACCCCCTTGATCCCCGTTTGCATGTCTTAGGCTTCACTTACACCATCGGCCCTCCTCTTACCCAATACAACTAACGCCTCGTTAAAAATAGCACAATACACAAATTAAAAAAAAAAAAGAACTCATGAGGTGCTTTTGCTGGCTATTGTAGAAAAAGGGCTGAGAGCGACGTTTTGATTAAGCGTTTGATGGAAAAGCAGCTGCCCAAAGGTAGCCTATAGACCACCAAGACAATGCCATGTATTTTGAGTTTCTATACAAAAATCCCTTCGTAAAACCACTATTAGGGTGCACACCTGATGTTGATTTACTTGATAATGCAAGTGCATACATACGTCACAATTGCCCCACCCAAAGTTCTCGGTGGGGTATCCTCTAGTATGGACTCTAGCCCCCTCTAGTACATTCTCAGTGGCCTCATTTTACAAAAGACTCATCCAACCCCCCACTTACCCTCTAAATCCTACCGTAGTCCTTTCTAAGGTCTGGTCCACAATTGCCCCACCCAAAGTTCAGACTTTCAACTGGATTGCTTGTTCTCAACGGGCACTCACAGCGGACCAGCTTCAAAAAAGAGGGATTCTAATCCCCAACAGATGTGCCATGTGTTTGAGCAAGGAGGAATCGAATCCACACCTCTTCATCCACTATGAGCTAGCCCGCAACTTTTGGAGTCAACTATCGCAGCTGTTTGGTTTCCAACGGGTTACTCCACCGACAGGCAAGGCCCTAATTTCCTCGGAACATGCGTCACACTGGCCGAAGGCCGGAAGAACCTTATGGAAGGCTTCCATCGCTGCTTCCATATGGGTGATCTGGGTAGAGAGGAATACGAGAATATTCCAAGGTCACAAACTCCAGGTACTGGCACTCTTCCATAAGGTTACTACTCCAGTAACATTCTGGGCATCCAACCACAGGGTGTTCTCGGGCCTTTCAGCAAACACCTTTCTCAGCCAATGGGAAAACATACTCCACCACCATCCACGAAAGGTGCAAAGACCAAGCAATTGGCTGCTACCTCCGGAGGACACCATCAAGCTCAATTTCGATGGTTGCTCCCTGGGGGAACCCCGACCCTGCAGGAGCCGAAGGAGTCTTTAGACACCACCATCGCAATATTCTCTTCATCTATTCTGAATATTTAGGCCACAGAGATTCTCAATAAGCCGAAGCCATGGCCCTGCTGTTGGGTCTCAAAAGCTTCAACCATTCCTGGGGCTCACACTTGTTACTGGACGGAGACACACACAATATCATATCCTAGGCAATTAGGACGACACCACCTCCCTGGTACCTAGCTTCGATCTTTGATGAAATTGCTTACATTTGCAGGGATACGGACGTCTCATGAAAGCATATCTAGAGGACATGCAACAAGTTCGCTGATCTAGCGAAAGACGGGGCTAGGACCCAAGAAGAAGACAACGCCTGGTCCATCTCCTTTTTTGATCAGGACCACGAAAGGCACACAACGTAGAACAGCTCATTGTACTCGGGCAATTCTATAAGCCCAATTTTTTGTGAACCTACTGTAAATCCTTTGTAATCAGGTAGGTTTATAAGCCCACATGTTGTATAGGGTCTACTGACCATTTTTTGTACCGAGAGACCTGTCTAGAGGGTCCTCTCAGACTACCACACATTTGTATCCCAACTTCTCTTAGCAATACAAAGTTAACTTTACTAAAAAAAAAAAGTGATGAGCAGCAACATGTATCATATTTGGTTACTTACCAATATGGCCCCTAAAGAACAATGTTGTACATCTCCTGTAACTTTCTTTTTAATGGCCCATAATTTTATATTTATCCCAACACTTTCATTTTATCCTGAAACCCAATAGTAATTATCAAAAGTTCTCTAGGGAGAAAGTCCGGAAAGATCGTACAAGAGAAAGACCACAATTGTCACCTCATGACATGTCTATGACAATATTAGCAAATGAATCACCTACTGCTACTTCTGTACAAGGACAATGGGTGCTCGAGAAGTCATGAAATTGTTGAAAGCAGAAAGCATTGATCAACACATGTTACTCGAGGAACAATAACTCACTAAATAGTGATGTGTTCGCATCTGCCAGGACTTTCCACCAAATCCAGGTACTTCTCTTGATTTGCCCATTGCTTTTTCCAAAGTAAAAGCAATGTACCCAATTGATTGAGCATTTTAATTCTTCCATTGAAACTTATGCAATACCCACCAACTAAGCTAAAAAATCCCATGCTGCCTACTTCAATGGAAGAAAGCGGTGAAAGATGAAACCCCAAACCTTTATAGTGTATTTGAAAAGGAAGATTTATATTGCTGAAACCCAAAATACTACATTGTGTTGATGGTAGCAGCTTGTCCACGCTTAATTAAGATATTGCTTCCACCCCTATTTTACAATAGAGAAAAAATCTCATGAGTTTTGTTTTTTTTTCCATGTGTCCTATTTGCGGTGACGTGACCACATACTGAGTAAGAGAAGGGACTGATGATGTTCCAAATGAGGCCTTAGAAAAAGGGATATGGGACGTTGTAACACTACCCAAATGAAAGAAATCACTTCGTTTTTGGTGGCTTTTGGATCAAATCGGATGGATCGACTAAGGAATAAAAGAAGAGATTCACCCATAATCATGGTTGAGATTACAAATAAAAGTTCTCTTGTAGGCAAGATGAACATTGTAAAGGTGGTCTTATAGATAGCTACCAACAAATATTGGCCCTTGTACCAATCAGATGTAACTAACCTGTACTTGCATGGCATCTTGCAATCAGTGCATATACAGGCCCTCAAATGACAAAAGAAACTTACGGCATAAAACATTCTTCAAGAGCGTAGCTTGAGAACATTAGCTAGACAAGTTACAGTCCTTTGCTTTAGAGGAGTATGGTGACTACCCCCATTACACTTATTGCCTTTCAGAAGAAGCCATCCACTCCCGACATCTCTCTAGTGGACAGCTCATAGCCATCAAACCAGACTAGGAAAAGGTTCAGAACCACATTGATTGGTCGATTTTGGACAAGATCCAGTCCAAAATGGTTTTAGTGTTGGAGGAGCTGGATTCAGGATTGCATCTCTGACCCCACCTTCTAAGTCCTCATTAATGGTTCGCCCGAAGTTTCTTTCAAGCTTCGAGGGGTCTACATCAGCATGACCCTCTTTTCCCTTGTTATTTGCCATCATGGGCAAGCTTTCTCCAAATCCATCACTAGGCTATATGCGAGAGGGTGTCTAAGTGGCTCAGAGAAGGTCCATTTATCAACCACCTTCTATACATGGATGACACTATCATTATTCTATGACGCCCGCCCCATTCAAATCGACAATCTTTGGATCTTACTCACGAGTTTTGAGATAGCTGTGGGGATGAACGTTGACATGTCCGAGACCAAAATATTGGGCATCAAGATCCGCTCTCTAGCCCAGCATTGGGGTTGTGGCACTAAATCCTTCCCTTCCACCTACTTAGGTCTTCCATTGTGCTTAGGAATCCCTAGGAAGTGACTCTGGAAGCCCATCTTAGTCACATTCAGCAGGACGCTGGCTAACTCGAAAGGGCGCTACCTATCCCATGGAGAAAGTATTAGCCTAATTAAAGCTACCCTTGCCAATATCCTAATGTACAATATGTCTCTTTTCTAGATGCCAGCACCATTCAACTCCAAACTTGAAAGACTTGTGTGGCCTTACTATGGTCTAGTATGGAGGCTGTCCATAAGTTCCACCTCCTAGCCTGAGACAAGGTCTATCGTCTTAAACCTAGTGTACGCCTTGGTATCAAGAGGCTTAAACAAAACAGAATGGCACTGCTAGGCACATGGTGGTGGAGATTTGCAGTCAATAACACGCCTTGGAAGGAGGTCATAGCAGCCAAATATGGCATGGAAGAAGACAAGTGGCTCCCACAGTACCCACGACATCACGCTTTGGTGGCTTGGATGTGTATTGCAAATTGCGGCCAAGATTTCAGAAATTTGGTCAAATTCCAAGTTGATAGGGTAGACAAAATCAAATTCTGGAAACATCAGTGGCCCATAGAACAATCTCTAGGAATTTGGCTACCGAAACTCCTTGATATAGCTAGGGACAAGAACTCTACAGTTGCAAACTCTACAAAATTTCAGGATTGTTGTCTCATTTGGTCCCCCAGTTTTCAGCGGGCCCTCTCAGATTCAAAAAGCACAACTAGTGCACAATTGCACCTCTTTCTGACTTTTCTTTGTGCCCTTAAATGGAGGGATCGGATGCTCTGGTCTCCAAACACAGCCAAAAATCTCTTGGTTGCCTCCTCCTACAAAACCCTTCAATGTTACCCACCTCATATCTCCTTTTACTCCAAAACCTGGACCTCACCAGTGACCCACAAGGTCCAAGCTTTCGCTTGGTTCTGACCCATGGTAGGGCGTTGACAGGGGACTGGCTAAAATGGAGGGAATTGCAGGTGGCCAGTCACTGTGTCATGTGCCACAGCAGAGGAAACCATTGACCACCTTTTCCTCCACTGCAATTTTGCTCGATCTATTTGGAATCCCCTTCTACGTTCCGTCTTCAATGGATCACCCTGGAGACCATTAAGCAACGAATCTTTACTTGCATGACCCAACCATTCCCCAAGTTGGGTCGAACTCTATGGGAATTTCAATTTTTCTCCTCCTGGGGACCTCTGGAAGGAGCATAATGATATGATTTTCAGAGACCTTCGTCTGCTGCATCAAAAGCTCTTTTCGACCAAATCATTTCCAAATCCATCTCTAGGGAGATGTGTACTCCTATATGTAAAAGTTTAGGCTCGGCAGACTTCCACTGGACTTCACTCAACAGAGCGCACCTTGCCTCAGGACCCAGACTTTTAGGCCCTATTGGTCGCCCCCGCACCCAGGATTCCACGAGCTCAATGTCAATGAGAGCTCCTTCGGTAATCCACGTCCTTCTGGGTATGGAGGTACTTTGTCCTACCATGATTGGAAAATACTCTTTTTTTTATAGGGCATTTAGGACATATTGATGCTACCATCATTGGCTGCCTTGGAGGATCTTAAGCATTCGCTCCCATTATTGTTAGACATTGATTCCCTCATAGTGGAAGGAGACGAAAGGAATGCCATTTCTTGGGCTGCTAGGACCCCCGAACCTCCATGGAGAGTAGTTCATGTCATTGACCCATATTTACATGCTTTGCAGGAATACTCATGATGTCTTCCCACATATGCCAAGAGCGGCCAATAGCAATGCGGATAGGTTGGCAAAGGATGGTGCTTCTAGTGGGCCATCGACCCTCATCTCCCCTATGAGGATGTTATGGAAGCAGATCTTACAGTTACCCTTTCTTCCACCCCACACCAACCCCCCCACCCCCCCCCACTTTCACTCTCTTCTTTCTCTTCTCGTCTCCCCCTCTCTCACTCACCTGGGCAGCCCACAGACTGGGTGCTCAAGAAGCTCGGGCAGCATTGAGAGACAGGGAATGAGAAAAAGAAGAAAGAACTACAAAAGACCGAATACGAAGCAGCTTACATTCCAGTTGCTCCAACAGAAACCTCTAATCTTACAAAAACTGACTACCCACAAATAGGGATCTCGAATACAAAAACCAGGTGAAGCACCACCTGTAAAGCTTGCATCCCACAAGAGAAAGACAC